ATGACATAATTATTTTAGAGAGTAAGAAAAGAAGGTATGGATGGGAGTTGTGAGTGTTTGCCGACCTGCATTCAGGGCTCCTTTCAGAGTTCACATTTGCTGTACCTTGGAGCAACAGAGAAAAAAACAGTTGGGGCATACTCTGAACAAACTGTAAAGGTAAAATGTATATTATTTTTATTAGGATAAAGCTTAAATAATTTTGTCCATGTTTCCTTTATTTAGAAATTGCATGTTTTTTAATGTCAGTCTTATGTTTATTAAAGATAATGGCATTATGGGATTTTTAATTTTTCCCTCTGATACATAGCTTAACAGGGCAGAATTTGAAGATCAAGATGATGAAGCCAGAGTGCAGTATGAGGGTTTTCGACCTGGGATGTACGTCCGAATTGAGATTGAAAACGTCCCGTGTGAATTAGTGCTGAACTTTGACCCCCAGTACCCAATTATTCTGGGTGGTCTGGGCAATAGTGAGGGCAACGTTGGGTATGTGCAGGTAGGTACTCTTAGCTGCATGCTCAGCACCTGGTGTTCTTCGGAGGTACTCTCCACCAGTCATTTTATTGCCTCTCTTCTCCCCTCAGATGCGTCTGAAGAAACATCGTTGGTATAAGAAAATCCTCAAGTCCCGAGATCCAATCATCTTTTCTGTGGGGTGGAGGCGGTTTCAGACCATCCCACTCTATTATATCGAAGACCACAATGGCAGGCAGAGACTCCTAAAATACACTCCACAGCACATGCATTGTGGAGCAACCTTTTGGGGTAAAATGTTATTAGAATAACTTGCTTCTGGGTTAATTTAAACCTTTTAGGTTTTATCATTATAGTTTTGCTCTTTTCCTTTCATGAAATCCCAATTCATAGGATTTTTCCTTTTTTGTGGAAGGGTTTTGGAGTGTGTGTGTGTGTGTGTGTATAATTTTTTTTTTTTTCCCTCTGACTGGTAAGGGGATCACAACCCTTGGCACAGTGTCATCTGCACCACGCTCAGCCAGTGAACGCTCTGGCCATCCCTATATAGGATCTGAACCCGCGGCCTCGGCGCTACCAGCACCACACTCTCCCGAGTGAGCCACGGGGCTGGCCCTTGAAGTATATATTGTATGTAAAATGGAATTCGAAATTTGTGGTTCACTGTATTTCTTTTTTTCCTGTTTTCTCTAAGGTCCTATCACTCCACAGGGAACTGGGTTCTTGGCAATACAGTCTGTTAGTGGCATAATGGTAAATATCTTGGGGGCTTTATTTTATAAATTGTGTTTGAGAAATATATCCTGAATATGGATTATTATGTACATGGAACTTTAAGTCGTAAATTCCTCATTTTTAGTAAATTTCTCTTTGCTTTTAATCTTCCTACATCCTTTTAAGTAGGGGTGGGAATAGAGAGGAGGGAAGTAGAAGAATAATTATAATTATACTGGTACTAATGACATTTTATATTTTTGTATGTATTTTGGACTTATTTATCTAAAGTATTTAAGCAGTGCTCACCATGTGCTAATAAGCAGTATACTAGGTTCTGAAGATACATTGTATACCAGCTAGACATGAGACTACCACCTAGTAATGCTAGTTTAGCAAAGAATGTTCACACAGTCTTTACTTGACCAGTCAGAGCATGTTTTATTGGCCCCATTTAAGAGAGAAGCAAGCAGAATAATAAGTGGATGCAATCTGCCCTGGAGGTCCAAAATTCAGTTTCTTAAACATTGCAACAGAATTTTCATTTTCATTCTAAATAGATCATTATTGTGAAATTATGATATTGTGAAATCACTCTCAGGAAGTACTCAAATCATCATTGTTAGTTTGGCTTCCCAGTGTTAAAATGTTGGATTGCTTTTGTTTAAACACTGTTGTGCACGTTCAGATGTTCTCTCTTGTTCTTTCTTAGCTGATTAAAAGTGGGGTAAACTTTGGTAATTTATTGCATCACAGAGAATTGTAGTTTTTTTCTATTGGTGATATTATTCCTATTTCTATATTCAAATTTTGGGGGTTCCTTTTAGCCTGATTTCCGGATAGCTGCCACAGGAGTTGTTCTTGATCTGGATAAGTCCATAAAAATTGTGAAGAAATTAAAGCTAACTGGTTTTCCATACAAAATTTTCAAGAACACTTCATTTATTAAGGTATGTATATCTATATATATATCCTCGTATTTATAAATGTATAGATCATGAAAAGAGAAATGGAATACTTCTAAAATGTGGGTCTGATGTTTTTAGAAAAGTATTTGAAACTTTTTATAAACTTGGTCTTTGATATTTTTTAGTTTACTTCTTTATATTGGTCTCTGTGTTACTTAAATATGCTCAAAAACCTTAAGATGAAATAAAACAGAGATTACTTGTTACTTCCATGTGAGATTGTCACAGAACTAATGTTGAAAATATATAATTTCATCCACTGGGTCTTGTTTTCTACCTTTTTGGTTTATGTTAAGAAAGGGGAAAAAAATCATGAGTTTGTCTAACAGTTTAGTAGAAAAACAGACAAAGTAATTCACAAAAAAACTTGGCAAGGATACAAAGAAATGAACACAAATGTTTTGCAATATTTTGGGAGGATAGTTTGAGCAGCATTTATTGAGTTTCATTAGTGGGGATGTTTCCATTAAAAACAGTTTAGAAGACCATAAAATGTTCTTGTAACATAAGGTAATAATACCATTGGTGTGTGTCTGGCTTGTTTTATTTTCTAAGTGTGTGCACCTAAGCAATGGGATTTGAGCTGCAGTCCAGCCTGTAAGATGCCAGCAAAGGTTTCCTAGGTCATTTCAGTCCAATAAATGCCTCTTTGATCTTCTCTTTTACAAAAGTAACAGTGATGAATATGCCAGTGAGCTTACAGTGGAATCTTAATGTTATTTTGGGGACAGTAAAATAGAGTTGTATTCTTTTCAACATAGAAATTCTACTTTTAGGGGGAAAATACATTTTGCTTATTTTATCACCCTTTAATGAGTTGTTTTTTGTTTTTTAACCAATTATGTGCTATGTAAACTAGTAAGGTATAGGATTTTATGTGTACGTATTTTTATTTTCTTATGCCTGTAGGGAATGTTTAATTCGGCCTTGGAAGTGGCCAAATTTGAAGGTGCTGTGATTCGAACTGTCAGTGGAATAAGGGGACAAATTAAAAAAGCGCTTCGGGCTCCAGAAGGAGCTTTCCGGGCCAGCTTTGAGGATAAATTGCTGATGAGTGGTAAATATCCTTTGTGGTGTGTTCAGGACAGCATGTTGCCAATCATTATTGATTTCTAGCCCATGTTGGTTAGAATTGAAGTTTAGATCTTTAGAAGGTCTGAGTCACCTACAGCCCTCCCCAGCCGGAGCATCTTGTGCAGTGTGCTGATTCATGTTGCGTCCAGCCCCTTGGTTCACACACCCAGATAAAGCTCTGTGATTAAAAGTTCTGTGCAGACTAAAAAGCTTCTGCACAGCAAAAGAAACAATTAACAGAGCTAAAAGACAACCAACATAGTGGGAGAAAATATTTGCAAAATACACATCTGACAAAGGACCAATATCTAGAATATATAAAGAACTCAAACAACTATATAAGAAAAAAAACAAGCAACCCAATCAAAAAATGGGCAAAAGAGCTAAGCAGGCACTTCTCTAAAGAAGATATACAAACGGCCAACAGTCATATGAAAAAATGCTCAACATCACTCAGCATCCGGGAAATGCAAATCAAAACCACACTGAGATACCATCTCACCCCAGTTAGGATGGCCAAAATCCAAAAGACGCTGAAAGATAAATGCTGGCGTGGTTGCGGAGAAAAAGGAACTCTCACACATTGTTGATGGGAAAGCAAAATGGTGCAACCCCTATGGAAAATGGTTTGGAGATTCCTCAAACAGCTGAAGATAGA